ATCAATAAAATCAAACAGTGTTATGCATTTTAATTCCAGATTGTGTGACCATGACCGCAGGATCCCAGTTCAGTTGTATTTTGATGGCGCAGTCTTGGTCCTCAAAAGATTAAACCTTAACTATTATGTGGAATTAGTATTTATTTACTCTTTACTATTGGATAACGGTTTAGATGTTTAACCTTTTACATCACTCTTAACAGGTTTTTAAAGTTCAATTCCGAGCCCGTGGTTAATGTGGGAATTACCAGATGCTGATGCTCAGTGTGAACCGGAGATGTATAAGGAGGCAAGAAAGTACTGGACCACTTATCTATGACGAGTGCATCGCACTTAACATCACTATAATACACTTTCCATCCACCACTGTCAATAATATTCTCATAAGAAAATGTAAAAATGAATCGGTCATTTCACATACCACAATCATATACTATAAGGCTGACTATATTAATTAAACTTTTCCTCTCTGATGGACCTGATGTCAAATTCGTTGGGTTTTAGAATCTGGCTGTATGATCTGCCGCTAATCTCTGCTGTACTTTTGACCAGGCTCATTGCAGTGAGTACAGTATGTTACAGAAGTCACGCCACCCCCTCGAATCCCAGAAAGAGCAGATTTCTGCCATGGCAGAAGACCCAATATCTATTGGTGCAGCTGTGTTTGCTGCTTTCTAGGTAGGAATGGGAGTGTGTTTTCCCAAAATCCGCAAGCAAGAAGAGTCGAACACATCCCATATTTAGGCTATCGGTATCCAAACTGACAAAAATAGGTCATCTCAGGTAGTGGATGAAATTAAAGTTGTTTGGTTAGAAAACCAAGCAGTTGGTTACAAGCAGGCGTCTAACAATTTCAAAACACATTTCTTGCTCTAATCGGTAGTCTCAACTAGCTCTAACCAGATTTTAGGAACACGCTGTCTTCTCAAATAATGTTTCTCCTTATTTCTGAGGAAATGCAGATGAATGTTTAAATGCAAAATCCATCCCATATCAATCACATTCAGTTCCTGACTGGGAACTGAATCAGCACTGGTAATGTGCACAGTGTCTCAGCAGCACGGCAAAGCACTTACACTTTTTTAAAGTATTTACACCTAGTGAGCTAAAAATGACTTATTGAGGGAATGTAATTGAGGAGTCAATGAGATAAAAAGTTACTATCTTGAAAATTATTTTTAAATTGTAAATGTGTAAATATGCATATTTTTCACATCTCGAGAAGGTCTCAGAGCATGGAGAGCCTCACACTGAGTGGTGCCAGAAATTATTTCAGCACAAGTCTCATTCCTTTTAAAGTCCTTTAATTTTCTCCTTTCAAAATATTTCTTATGTTAGACATTAACCTTTTTTCTGACTAATTCATTCTTTGTAATACAGCTGTCAGCATCTTTTAATGTGTCTGAAGATGCATCTTCCCATTGTAGCTCAACCCTGTCGATAGTAAAAATACAGTTGTGTACAAACATTTGGGCACCCCTGGTTAAATTGCATGTTTCACTGAATCTCTAAGTGAAAGAAGTTAAGAAGTCAAGTTAACTTAAAGATGACATTTTTCTGTACATTTTAACGCATAAGTACTATTTATTTGCTGAATTTAACAGATTGAAAAATAAATCAGTGAATGTGGCATGTGCACAAGTTTCCAGTTGTGGACTGCCAGGCTGTATGCAGTATGTATATGTGGACTACTTTTTCTTGTTTTCTTGGACCTGACATGATTTCTTCAGGGATCTTGCCTAAGAAAACATGGAATAGAAACATATGAAAAAAATTTCCTT